CCTAGCCGGGCCGAGCCCGCCCGAAGCGCCCCGCCCGAGGCGGGCCGAAGCGGCACCAGGCCGCAGCCGAGCAGCGCCGAGTCTGCCCGAGGACACCCGCCGAGTCGAGCCGAGTCTGCCCGAGGACACCCGCCGAATGGAGACCTGAAGCGCCCCACCGAACAGGGCGAATCGGCACGAAGCCACCGACCCGAGTCGAGGCCGCCCGAACAGGTGCCGAACCGGCACGAAGCGGCCCAGTTGAGCCGATGGCCAATTCTCTAGAACCGAGGAGAGCCGAAGCTCCCCGAAGCGGGAGCCGAGTCAGTCCGAGCTGGTCCGAGGCCGCACGAGAGTTTCCGAGCGGCTCTGCTCGGACCTCCCTTAGAGCCCAAGAGGCTGGGTTGGCTACGCGCCTGGCCGACAGGGTCGACCGGCTCTGGGGCAGGCGCTCGCCGACTCCCGACACGGCTCGGCTTCGCACAGAGAATCCTGCGCCGAAGGCTTCGCCTGCCCCCGCCGCGAGCGGGGCCCGAGCCCGCCCGAGGCCGAGCCGAACTCAGCCGAATGTTCCCGAGTCCGAATACTCCCGAGCCTCGGCTCTCCTCCTGTCCGAAAGTGACCGAGCGCTGCCGGACGGGTTTCTCTGGCCTCGGCCCCGGTTCGGCTGTCAACTCCTGCAAGGCGGCTCGGTCGGGCCCCTTCGGGAGCAGAAGCGAAAATGGCCGAAGGGCGGCGAACGGCGCTGGGCCGAGAGGCTGCCGGGATCGGGGCGGACTCGGCGGGTGGGGGTGGGGCCGGGGCAAGATGGCGGCCGCAAGGCGAGGTGAGCAGGCTTCGCAGTGCAGATGGCTGACCGGTGGGGCGATCCTGGCCGTGTCGCCCTTCGCGCGGGGTCGGCCTCCCCGGGTGCGGTCCCGCCCCAGCCGATCGACAGGGCTGTTGGCGTGGAGAGGACCGCGTGGGCAAAGGCCCTGAGGCGGGAGGGCTGGGTGGGGCTGGGGCCCCGCGACGGCGCGGCCGTACCCCGGGGAGGGGGGTCCCCGAGGGTGTGGTGCGGGTTTTTTCTGGTGTTGAGAAGTCCAGGCCGGCCTGGTGCAGTTTTGTTACTGCTGTTTTCAGTATATTCACAGAGCTGTGCAACCACACCACTAACTAGTTCCGGAACATTTTCATCCCCAAAAGTAAGCCCTGCACCGGCTAAGCACTCACTCCCCCAGCCCCTGGCAACCAGCGATCTGCTTTCTGTCTATGTATTTGCCCAGTCTGGATTTTTTCATCTAAATGGACTTATACAATATTTGTCCATTTCTATCTGGCTTTGTCACTCAGCATGGGGTTTTCAAGGTCCATCTACGTTGTAGCCTGTATCAGAACTTCGTTCCTCCTTATGGCTGAAGGATATCCATTGTGGTGCATATGTACCGCTTCTTGTGTATCCGTTCATCTGTTGAGGGACATCTGGGTTGTTTCGACTTCGGGACCATTATGAACAATGCCGCAGTGAACATCCGTGTACAGGTGTTTGTGTTGTGGACACGTGTTTTCCTTGGTATATTCGTAGAAGTAGAATTGCTGGGTGGTGTGCGCCCAGCTGCTGACCGTGGTCTCGTTTACAGCCTCGACCACGCTGCCTGGAAAAGCCTTTATTCCCATGTGCACACCTTTTGTAACTAAAAATCAAAAAACCCAGGGGCGGGGTGGCTGTGTTACTGTGGCCTCGGAATCATTAACGTCCACTCCAGGATTCACTCAGTCGGTAAAAGTCCAACTTCAATACCCCCACCGTCATCCACTGAAATTACTTTGGTGTGAAGAGATTGAGGGTCAAGAAGCTAAAGCAAAAGAAGCAGTTCTGTGATGTCTGTGCATTTTATTCCGAGCTCTCTGGTGCTCAGGCCCCAAACCTCTGGTCCCTGGAAGTCTGCTGGTAATTAGGTTTGTTTGTGTGTTTTCATTTGGTAAAAAATTAAGTTGATGCCAGAACAGAGATCTCTCCACACACCTCAGGGAAAAACGTGCTCTTTCTTACTTCCATGTTTAACTTCTGTTCTGACACACCTGTTCGTAGCCACGTTATTACAGTAAATCATTGACAAAAAATGTTAAATCCTAAAGGCCGAGGCCAGTCAGTGAGAATAAGCTGCAGAAGGTCTGGTGTTGTTAGACCAGCATATCTGATTGTAGCTCCCCCTTAATTAAAGTCCTGTCTCACTTAAGATTTTTATAGCGTTCTTTTTTCCCCCTGAGACACTTAACCTATAACAACCAGCAACTAGCAAAGAAACTTGAGATGTTTCTGAAGCTGACATTCAAGGGAAGGATCAGAAGGGAGGAAAACCCCAATGAAAGTGAAATTGACCGAAATAATGACAGGTATCTAGGTAACCGAGTTCAGCCACGGCCTGGAAAAGAACAGATCGGGTTTAAAGAGCACCCAGCCTGTAACGTGACGCGTTTAATAGTGATCCTCACCCAGCTTCCTGCTCTTGGCATCTGCCGCTGCTCCTGGAAACCCAGTTTCAAATCCCTGTTGTAAATGCCCCATGCTCACTGACTTCAGACTCCCACCTGCATGAGACACCACAGACTCTGGCCCTGGCCTGTGGTAGTCAGGCCTGAGAAGGTGTGGGGTTCCCCTGGGACGCTTCTCAGACTCACCAAGGCTGGAAGTGTCTCTGGCCCTCCTTGGGGTCGTGGAGACACAGAGCTGAGGAACAAGCGGTACTGGACCCAGGCTGCCTTCCTGCCTGCTGCCCAGCAGTACAGCTCAGGCGTCCCCCTGTACAGGTGTTTGCCAAATTCCAGATTTGTGTTGTGTGTACACAGATGAAGGTGTGCACATATCACAGACGAACAGTGAGTGTGAGCCTCTTTTGAGACAGGAAATTTGACCCAAGTCATGTGCAATCCAAGGACGATCAGAGATATCTTCAGAGGCAAAGGCTTGGAATTAAAACCATCTGACGGGGAGAAAGGCTCCACTCGTGCCTCCAGAGTCATCTCAAGAGGAAGAAAAAGTTAGGATTGCTGTAGGGGCCGCAGAAGGTCCTAGAGATTGCAAGAGTGAAAAACTGATTGCTGCTTTAGGAAATTCTTATTTCTGGAAGGATATTTGGAGCAGGGAATTAAATTCCATAGGAAAGCAAACGTGTATTATCCGTTATGAAAAAACACTTGTTATAAACACAAATCATAAAAGGCTTTCATCTGATCATATGTGTGTGGCAAACATGCAGAAATCTGACAGTGGTGAAGCTATTGGAGCTGGTGGCGGGGCAGGAGGCAGGGGGACCCCTCTGAGCCTCCCGGGATCACCTGTGTGCTGGGTGCCTGCACAGCTGCCTCCAGCCTCAGGGCCTAGAAAGCAGAGGTGGGAATGTGCTCCTGGAGGGCGTGTGCGGAGGTGGTAGGTGGCAGCCCTGGCAGGTGTTCCTTCCTTCCGTAACTGTGAGATGGGCGGAGAGCAGCTGGGTCTCATGTTGGTGTTGACACGTGTCCCTGCAGGCTGCTACCTCACTGACTGACACTTTCTCTTGTAGGAAACGCCTCCTTCACCATGGTATCCTTCTGCTGGCCTGTCCCAGCCTCTCCAGCTCAGCACTCCCAGTCTGCTCCTGCTGCACCCCCATTTCCATGCTTCTAAGAACCATTGGGTGTCTGGGGGAGGGGGCTCACTAACAGATTAAGAGTTGGTACAGCCCGCCCCGCCCCGGCAAAGGGAGGGTGCCGTCTCCATCACCGACCAGGGACACTGGCTGGGTGAGGAGCCCTGTGCCCCGAGCAGGAAGGCCGTGTCCCCCACCAGCGCCCCAGTACAGGAAGGTGAAAGCCCGCGTTTTGTTCAAGGGCTGTAGGCTCACTTTCGCATCAGTTTGGTGTGTACAGAGCTCCGGGAAGGTGTTCGTTTTCTCTTCCCAACTTGTAACTGGGGGCCAAGGGCAGGTGGGGCCACCGGGGGAAGCGCCAGCTGAGGGGAGAGCTCTGCCAGCTGAGATGGGCAGGTAGTCCTGATCTAAAGGGTCACCAGGTGTGCGCGCACACGTGAAAGGTGTGAGGTCCCTCCAGAGCAGGTCGGCCCCTGGGGGTGGAGTCACTCCTCACTGGCAGGCACCCCTTGCTGGAGGGGGGTGGCAGCCTGCCCCAGCACCTACCAGGCGCTCTGTGGGGTTGGCCATGGGCCCAGGCAGGCCCAGAGCTGGCCACATGGTGCAGGGTCTACAAGCCAACCTGTGGGTGCAGATCTGTTAGAGCCCTGCTGGACCTGCGTGTCGCAGTGCTTGCCCACGGGGTGGAAGGACCTGGGCAGGTGCACCAGGTGGGGCGATCTCTAGGACCTGAGCATCCTTGACCACCCGCAGCTCTCATCGGTACCTCTTCAGATGCTCTTCTACCTCAGTGGAGCATATCACGCCTTCTACTTCCTGGCCACACTGCTGCTGCTGGTCTACAAAAGTAGGTCGTGGGCTAGGAGATGGGCCGGGTGCTGGGCCACTGCGCGGCGTGACGGGCATCCCTGCCTGTGTGCCCTGCTCCAGGTCAGGTGTTCAGCTACCCACAGCATCACCTGGTCCTCGATCTGGCTCTGCTGGTGGCGACGGGGGTGCTGGAAGCAGTGGGGGTGTACTTTGGTGAGTCCACATGAAAACCCTGAGTACAGCAGTGAACAGGCTGTTCACACCTTCGCACCTTACCATGTGGCTCTCAGAGGTTTCTGGTTCATCTGCCTAGCCAGTCGCCTTGCAGGCTTCCTGGACAGTGTCCTGAAGTGTTCATTAGTTGGCCCAGGAGCTTTTGCAAGGGACAGGGTATAATGGTGTCATCCTTGGGAAAGGACTCTTGGTGTTCCTGTAAGTCACTGGGTACCAGGACTGAGACAACCGGAACCCAGCCAGGCAGCGAAGTCTAGAGGTCCAGGATTTTCACCTGTCCCTTTCCACGTCCTCCCTGCCACAGCAGTCTGGGGGAGGGGGTTTTGGAGGGTTCTGTCCTGAGGCTTCCTGTGCCCCTGATAGGATAGGAGGGTGCTAAGCCCAGGAAGCAGAGCTGAAGCCCACGGCTGTGGCGCTGCGGGGCCTGGGGCTCAGCTTTGTTTCAACCTTTCCCGTTACTGCCGTCTGCAGGGCGCACACGCCCCTCCCACTTGTAAGCCAGGTGAGCTCTGCACGTGGTCTGCTTGGATGTGTCTTGGAAATGCACCTGCCCTTGGGAAAGGTGACAGTTCCAACAGCAGCAGGCACTTTCAGGGCACTTGCCAGGCTCGGGTCTGACGCACATCAACTCCTTCAACTCTCCCCATGACCTCCCCACCCCACCCCCGCCCCATTTACAGCAAGGAAACTGAGGCACAGGGAAATTAGCACCTGCCCCACCCCGTGTGCCACCCCCAGGCCCCACCGTATGAGTGAGCTCAGGGCCCATGCTGCTCTCACAGACACCCCCGAGGCAGGAGTCTTGGCACATGCCGGGGGGAACCAGCACCCCCAGAGGTGGAACGCCAGGAGGAGGCAAAGCTGCCGTGTGACGGGGACTGTACAGGTCCTGGCCCCGGGCAGCGCACAGCGGGGAGTGTGTAACCTGCCCCTGGGTGACAGAGGAGGGGATGGCGCCTTCCTTAGGGGCCGTCTGGGAGCACCTGATGCCTGACCCCGCCCCCACCACACCAGCCTCAGGCTCTCCCTGGTCCCTCTGGGTCATCTGGTGGCGGATGATAGGCCTGTCCCATGACTGACCCTTGTGTTTGTAAAACATGCTGTTGGGTTTTTTTTTTTTTTAATAAGTATGCGTGAAATCTTCCAGAACTGGCCTTAGCCCAAAGTAAAATATTTTTGGAAATTTCAACACAGTTCCTCCAGTCCACTGTGAGTTAGAAAAAGTGGCAAGAATGCAGCCGGATTTGTTTTTAGAAAATCACACTCGCTCTCCCCACACCCGGGACCCGAGGACTGAGACCTGCCTTACGGCTGCGGGGTCTCGCCTTCCTCCTGAGGTAACAAGCCCCTTCCTGCCTTGCGCTTTCTGACACTTGGGTCCCACTCGAATCCTCTAGCCCTGGGTCTACCCTGTGACTGTAGGTAGGCTGCTTCCCCTTCGGAGCCTCCGTTTTCTCTGTAAAACGGGTGCTATGGTTGTACCTATTTGGAGGAGGTGTGGTTGGAAAAACGAAAAATAAAAACAATGGGCTGGTAGTAACTGGCCTTCGCCCTGGAGTAGTGGCCCTGCGGCGTCCAGCCCCACGCTCGTGCCTCTGCTCTGCTCCCCAGGCACCAAGGGCAACCTGACGGAAGCCGAGGGACCGCTGGCTGTGAGCCTGCTCCTCACCGGGATCACTGCCCTCCTCTGCACCTACTTCCTGCGCTGGCAGACCCTCGTGCTGTGGGTGGACGCGGCCCTGGGTGCCACGCGCCTGGCACTCCACGGCCTCGAGGCAGTCCTGCAGGTGGTCACCATCGCGGCCTTCGTCAGCTAGACGGCAGCCCTGTGTCTGCACCGCTCCCCCGGGCCCCCCTGCAGCACCCCCGCCCTCAAGAGGAGCCACCCGTCACTGCCTCCGGTGCTGAACGGAAAGTACATTTTTCCTGTAGATTTGCCATATTTTCATAGGGCCAGGTGGTTTAGGACCGTTTACCAATCTTTTTTTTGGTGTGTGGGGGGGGCAGGAACCAGGCAGAGCACATGTTGGGGACCAGGTGTTGGGGTGGCCAACAGGGAGGACTTCCTGGTGGTGGACACACCAACAGGAGGTGTCCGCGGTGGATCGAAGGACATGGCTCATCCCCGTCCTGATGCTAAGGGTCTGGCACAGGTCGCTGGTCCATGCTGGCCACCACCGCCCAGGGGGAGAGAGAGAGAGAGGCAGGGCCTGCAGGCCACCACCGGGGCAGGCGCTTCCCGGGAGGAGCCATCCTCGAATTCCTCCCTCTCAGGCCCCTCCGAGCAGCTCTAACTCCGTGCCTCTCCAAGGCTGGCCCTAATTTGCAGCTCTGGTTTTGAGCCCCATGTACTCAGAGCTGCCAGGCTGTAGCAGGCATGGAGTCAGAGGTGAGCCGCCGGCCCCACCTGGAGAAGGCCCTGTCCCTCTGTGGGGGGCACTGGGACGAGGCTGCTCAGGTCCACGGACATCAGGTAGGTGGACGTCCCCGCTCACACCCAGTCCAGCCTGGGACAGTGGCAGCGCGCTCTTCCTTCCAAAACAGAATCGCAAAAAGCCACGCAATTTTAATCACAGCCTCGAGGCCTCTCCTTTCCCCCTGAGAAATTCTGCAAAAATGCCGATCTTGAGGGAGGAAGGCAGAGAATGGAGGCGGTTAACACCGAGCACAGCTCTCCGAGGGCCGGGAGGACCAGAGGGAGAGCTAGCTGCTCCAGGGCCTCCTGCCGAAATTTCGGACTCTGGACTCATGAGTATCAGTACAGTTCACTCTTAGTACTGGACCAGCCCTGTCTCTGTGAGTTTCCCGTTCGCAGCCTCGCTGCCAGTGCTCCTTAGAAAGTATGGAGCTGGTGCTTCTAACAGCATTCCTTCATCATTTCTGTTGTGAGTTTTCTCCATTTGGAATAACGTCATGTTCGGATATCTGGATGTTTTCTCTTCCCCGTGTATTTTTTAAATAAAGAAACGTTTGTCACATCTCCTGAATTCCTCCTAAGGCCGCGCGCCCTGGCCTGGCCACACGCCCAGCCCCAGGAGCAGCCCGGTCCCAGGAGCAGCGCTTTCCGCAGGTGGCTGCAGGGCCAGGCCTCCCCACCCTCTGTCGCCCAGAGGCTGGCCTCTGCCAGCAGCAGCAGCATCCTCGGGTCACTTTTGCTGCTTTGTCCTTCCCGCGGGAGCAAGTGTGGGCATGGGGTCTCTCCACCACCCACCTCCTGCCACGCGGCCTGGGTTGTGCCCAAGGGGCCATGCCCACCTGTGGAGGCCACGTGAATGCTGCTTTCCACGCCACCTGTGTGCTTGCTCAGTGGAGGGAGCAGGAAGTGTCAGGTGTCCACCTCCTCCCACCCGTCCCTGCAGCCAGGGATCTCACTGTCATGGCTGTTGGGGCGTCCCTGCCCCTTTGCTGGTTCTGGGTGGGTGTGTTGCTGCTGCAAGGGTGCTCCACGCCTTCACACCTTCCTGCAGACCTGGGTGAGCTTAGAGACTTCAGGGTTACAGCCTCCTGCCCCCGCCCCCCCCACGCCAAGGCTTGAGACAGGTGGCGCTGTCCTCCCTCAGGGCACTCCAAGGCTCCAGCAGTCTGCAGCCGGGCCTGCAGCCAGGCCCTCGGGCTCCCGCAGGGCAGGCGGTCTCAGCTGGCCGCCTCCCTCCCAAGGACAGGCTCACCAGGGTGGGTGTCGGGTGAGGAGGAGTGCTCCGCCGTCTGACTGCGCTCTCCCACCCGCGGCCCGGGTGCACACACCTCCCCATGCACTGAGTGCGGGAAGGCGGGGTAGAATGTGGACCCCGGGGCTCCGACCAGGATGGTGAGATCCATGGAGGGCACGAGCTGGGGCACGTGCAGTGAGGCCCGCAGCCAGGAACCAGGAACCAGGCCGGTGCTTCGGCAGTGCTGGGCAGGGAGGACAAGGCCTGCTGCCTGCTGCCCCCACCCACCAAGTCCACTGTGATGCCCCCGGGTGAGGCCAGGAGGACGGCTGTCAGGGTCTGGCAGCCACAGGAAAGGGCAGTCCTGGTGTCCTCCTTCCCCAGGGGCTCCCCAGGAAGCCAGTCCAGGGCACCCGTGCCAACTGCCCTGCCCTTCTGGGCCTACCCGGCCCCGGCCCCCAGTGGCCCTCCCTGTGTTGAGTGGCCTTTCCTGCCCCACCACCACCCCAGAAACAGCTTGGGTCCCCATGTGTGCGTGGGCGTGCCCACCGCACTTTCTCCCCTCCTCCCACCCATCACGAACGTCACCTCCCCATGTCTGTCTGCCTGGCTCTTCCTGCACCAAGGAGGGCCCCCAGTTCTGGGCAGTCACAGCAGCTGCCAGGCAGGGACACAGGCGGGTTAGGGCCACCAGCCTGGCTGCAGCCTAAGGGCCAGGGGCTGATAAGAGCAGAGCAGCGGAGAAAGGGTGGAACGGGTGGTCCTGGCCACTCACCCCTGCCTCCAAACTCCAGGCCAGAGTGTGCAATCTGGGCCTAAGGAGGGGGCGCGTCAAGGGGACAGCTATCCCAGGAGGGGCCCAGAGCTCCCCTACCCCACCTGCTGCCGGCCGTGGGGCTCAGGACAGTCCGGGCCACAGATGTCCCCACCCTCCCATCAGACACCCCTATCCTTCAAGGGGTGCCCAGGCCAGGCTGGGGGCAGAGCAAAGAGGAGACTTCAGGAGCTCCTAGATAAGTGGACGCGGTCCCCACCCTGCAGGAACTCCGAGCCCAGGGCTGGAGGGCTGTGAGGTTGCTGGCGGCCCTCCATACCCACTCCCAGAACAGAGCCTCTGCCTTGGGTGACCCTGGGGACCGGATGGGCCCACCAAAGAGGAGGGGACTCTGCTTGGGGCCTGGGGCCAGGACAGGTGCGAGTGGGGAACACCTGGCCTGCTGGAGCTTTCTGAGGCCCATTCCCAGGCTGCCCCCCCCACCATGCCCCTGCACCTGCTGGGGCACACTTGGCCCTGCCCAAGGAAGAGCCTATGATGGTGCCAGGTCCCCCCACCCGACCCCCGTGCATCCCAGCGCCCAGCACCAGGGTTGGGGCCCTCGAAGGGTGTCACAGTTGGGTTTGGGACTTCGGGAAGGGCTGGGCCCGGGTGGAGCCCGGTGGGAGCGGGGTCTGGAGCAGAGGTTGGGCGCTGGGTGATGCGGGGGGCGGGGGGGTGCGGAGCAGGGGCGGAGCTGGTGGGCGGGGCGGCCGGGCCCCACCTCCCCCTCGCACCCCGCTTCCCCCGTGCGCCCGACAGGCTTTGTGGTTACTCTGTAACCTGCCGCTCAGGTTCCTCTTCTCCGCCCCGCCTGGTCCGGCCCGGCCCCGCAGAGCGTCCAACCCGCCCGCCCGAGATCGCGCCGTGGCCGAGGCGCAGACAGACGGGTGGACACAAGGGCGGACAGACCGACCAACTAGAGCAGGCCCTGGGGGCGCTGGACCAGGGGCCGCCGGGGAGGAGGTGAGGTGCCCGCCCTGTTCGGGCCGCTCGTCTCGGGGGACCCAGAGCGCCCTGGTTCCCGTCGTCGCCCGTCCGGTGCTTTGGCAAAGGGGCGGACGGAGGGAGCTGAGCGCGGAAGGCCGGGACTCCCTTTCCCCAGGTGGTGACGGGCAGGGCACGGCCCGGACGCCGGGCCCGGCGCGGGGAGCTAGGAGCGCCGG